GAACAATGCAGAGCAAAGGAACCTGCACTCCTAGCTAATTTTACTTGCCTTTGACAGCTGCTAAGATTATTGTTGTCCTCATAGCACCACACAATTCAGATTTCTTAATTTCACGCAGACCAGGCAAAGAATTTTGCCAACTACGTTACTGCAATGTCAGGAAGCTTAGTTAAAATAAGTAGGCAAAACATTTCAGACATTTTAACTTGAAGTGATATTTATTAAAATGATATGTACATTTGACAAATTGTCAAAAATATAAATTTTAATACATGGCATAATTTTTGTTTTAAAAAGTCCATACAAATGCTTCACATTGGATAGATTTTATAGAAATTCAATATATACAATTGGCAACAAAAACTCATAACAAGTTAAATACCTGAGATCAAAAATATTCAATATTAAATAGAATCTGTGCCATTATGTATCTCTCAAGGTCTTCCAATCCATGAATACTCAATCACACACATTCCCTCTGCATCACAATAATCCACTGGGCACAGGTAACATCTATTAACACACAAGAACTTGTGTTGCGCATATGCATTCTTCATGTCTCTCTTCTCTCAACATAAGAATACAATGCCTTGATATAAACAAAGATGGAACTAAATAAATTGAGGGTTGCTCTCCACATTTCTCCAACCATTGATCATGATGAATGGAAAATTATATAAAACACACTTCTGATTTCCAAAATACTCTCCTGATGGATTAGGCTATTTGCCTAAAGCACAACCCTGTATAATCAGCCCAATAATGTTGGTTAAACAGCATTCTCCCTGACATCCCCACACATAATGCCTTTTGGGTTTTTTCTTCACCTTACCAAGAACAATGGGTAACTTCAGAGGTCAGAGAAAGGAGTTTGGAATACAAGAAACCAGAAATTCGAAAAAAGTTCATTCTGCCATCCTATTTGAAGCTTCTGCAAACTTTTAATATTTTGTTATGGCCTATCTAGCCTAGTCATTCCATCTCTGATGAAAAGATCTGTATAAATATTAAACAAACACAGGGAATGCTAGAGAAACTCAGCAGGTTTGGCTGCATCTGTGGAGAGAGAAACAGTTAACGTTTCAAGTTTGGTATGATTTTGGTATGCTGCCAGACCCACCAAGTTTCTCCAGCATTCTGTTTGTTTCAGATTTCCAGCATCTGCAGTATTTATACATCGATTCCCAAAAGTGAATCAGTCAGAACTCCAGAATATTTAACCATTTATACATCATATCTTTGATTGCTGCATTTCTTGGTTTGACATATCAATGATTCTATCAGTTTGCAAGTCATTTTTACAATACTTAATATTTGATTAAAAGATGAAGGTACATACTTTGAGACTCAATCCAGATCCTATTATGAGGCTCACCAGTGAATTTTCTATGCTACACTTCTATTCATGAAGATAAATAGTTTTTGCAGTTGGTTGCTGTAATACATCTGGGTTGCAGATCATTTATACTCACATCACAGCTTATTGTTTTATTTGTTTCCTTTCCCATATCCTTCCTCTTCCAGCCTCCTAGCACATTCCATCTTTTAAAGTCGAGAGCAACACCTCCCTTCCAACCCAGATTAATTTATCTCTACCATACTCAAAAGATCAGCTTTGTTGATCTTGAGGTGTGTTGTCATTTTCTGGCTCATAAATTGTCTCAATCTTGTGATCCAGCTAAGAATTGCTAGAAAAGGCTCATCATTCAGTTTTCAGTCACAACGTAACTCAAGCACTTGTCATATCTCTTTTACCCTAGGACTTGAAGTCAACTATTATCAAGTGTTTAAAAAAAAAACACCTGCAAAGAACCTTTAGATAGTGATCAAAATCTTATAACTGGCACCAACTTTATTCTTGTGATTAAGTAAAAATTTCGTAATAAGTGGTTCGTGGAAGAAATGTAAAGATAAAATGTGAAATGTCGCAATTGAAAAGTGAAGATTTCTGAAGAAGTTTAATTTTACTTTCTGGTTTAACAATTGAAACATGAAACTGTTTCACCAATAGTTCAGTAAAGTTCAAGCAAGAGTCCACTCAAACTCTAGAATAAAACAATTTCTTCTAATCTCTAAAAAGTTGGCATTGTAATGATCCACTAAATTGGATTTACTGATTGAAGACATGACTGTTCAGCTTAAGAAGCATCATCTACTCGCTATGGTATGGTTCACAAATTTCTAATGCTCCTTCAATAAGGCTCCTCAAGGTCAAAAGAAAGAGCTACACAATGCAGAGGCATGAATCATGGATACCAAAGCTAAAATGATTTAAAAGGTTTACTATGACACAGAAAAAAAGTGACTGAATAGAATGTAACAATTAGCAGTCAATGTTAACTGTTGGCATTCCAGCCAAACTATCATTCCACTTTGCCATAAATTGGACATTTCTTCAGTTTCAATCAGGCTCATTGGTGTTGCCAAGGTGAAGCGAGTGTGTTGGACCTCAGAGAAAGGCAACTACTAACAACAGACCTATAGAGCAACAAAATCTATACATCAACATCGTGCTAATACAAATGCCAGTTTACCTCTAATACTGCACAGTGACCAGCAGCAATTAGTCTGAAATCAAAGCACCAGGTAATGACAATGCAATGCATGTATCTACCTTGACTAAAAATAGCATCAAATTGATGCAAAAGAAAATAGTGACAAATATTCTAACATACACCAGACAATATAAATTAAACACGTTGACTTATTTGTAGTTGAAAGGATTGTTTGTTCTAACCTGCATTTTAAAAATGTTTTATGGTTTTTATATCTATTAATCAAATTGTATTTTTAGTAAATGGAAATGGAGGATTATTACCAGAATAGCCTGGATTAAAAATAACCAGTAATGTTCATATGCTGTCATAACCACTGGGTTAGACATCCAACCAACTAGGATGTATCAAGCTCTTCCCTTGCATGGTGCTAAAAGTCCTCAAACAAAATTAATACAAAAGCTGCCATATTACAAGGATTATATCATGGAAAATAATAAATTGGAACGGAGGGTGTTAAACCTAGTAGTATGGGACGCTAGAAACTTCATCTCTTTATAGACCTAGAATGGAATGGCCTATCCAGACTAGTTAAAACAAAATAAAATTTGAATAATTAAAATAAATTCAAAGCAGAGAAATAAATATTGAGGGAAATCACACATAAGTTCCATCAATGCCCTTTTATGAAAGGCTTCCAGTGCATCATTTGACATCATTATTCTATCGCTGCAAAAGAATGGAGCACATCTAGAGTTACCAACTCTGGTCGGAATATTCCTGCAGGTTGCATCATGATCGCTATAGTTAAAACTTAGTCCTGTACTCCCTTGCAGCATCTTCCCACGGCCAAGTGGAAAGGGAACAAACTGGATTTATCTGGATTGTCAATGAGACAGTCTTCCTCCTACTTCCAGCTCCAATCTTTTATATAACTAAGACAAGAAGTAGTCTATGTAAATGCTAGGTATTTACACAGTACAGGTACACAGTGCACTGCATCTTGTTAACTGTCTTATTTGTGCAGCAATTCAATGTAGTACACTACAGAAATATACAAGATCAAGTGTGAGCATGAGGTTATAAAAATAGTCAGCAGCAAACCCAAATAAGTTCCCAAAAACACCATTCTACTTCAGCTCAGCAACCAATTCACACACCCTCCTGTCAACATCCCCAGCACTTCCCCATACACACTAAACACTTCTCTCAAAGTTAACAATCATACACCTCTCATTTCCTTATTCCATTGTTTAAGGGTCTCCACTCCAAATTCCAAGACATTTCCTTGCATTTATCTTTTCTGCTAACTGAATGTGTTGGTCGAGAATATCATTGTGAACAGATTTACAGTCATTGAACCAGCCCAAATCAGTAAACTTTCAACAACTTTGAGCACGAATTGAAATGAGACCGTCCTTTACCCCAGATGTAGGGGTGCAAGAATGCCACAGCAGTTAATGGATTAAAACCATACAAATAGGCAAAAGATTAAAACCAAGACACCGGACAGAGGAACAATGTCTTTTTTAATGCATCTCACCGACTCATTACTACGTTGATGCTAAAAATCTATCAATATAAATGATCAAATAACAATTACTTACTTTGAGTAATGTCAGGAATGATATCTTTGCACAAAGTATGGTTGTAGCCAGGATATTGGACACATGAAGCAAATAGTTGGATATTATAAAGGGATGACAGAAAAACTCGTATATTGTAAATAAACACTGAGCAGGCTGAAGATTTCTTGTGATGCATCTCATCTGGTTAGGGTAGATAGAAGATTGACCATTTAATGCCAGTTGTGAAGAGGGAATATTCATTAAATACATCTTTCTCTTGCTTGCAGTGTCAACTCATTTCAGATGTAGACCCCGTGGATTTTGTGCCAGAAAAGAATCCCGTATTCTAGCAACTTCTACTGCACAGAGGTACCCAGAGACCTTGTTGTACCATTCTGGAGTCCGACCCCTGACAGTAAAAAAAAAGGAAATGAATGTAACAAAAGTCAACGTGGAAAAACTATTCAGCCCATCAGTCACCTAACTCTCCCATTATAATATTCAGCTTGATTTCAAACATCTCTAATAGCTTTCACTGGTACTCCAAGCAAATTATTCTAAACATTTTGTATAAAGGACTACTTACTTGAAATGAAAGTGTCCCCATTGACATTCCTATACCATGAAAAGGTCCCTATCAGCCTCCCTCTTTGTAGAAAACAGTGTACTTTATACAATACACAGATCAAAATAGAAGCTTTCTTCAGCAGCTGACTGGAGCAGAATTTTCATGAGAACCGTTTGATGCCCCATATGCAGCACTGACATCCAAGGTGAAAAATTATCTTAACGGGAAACTGGTATTGCATTATTTATTTCAAGGTTAGACTTGAGGTTTTCAGTTGATCAAAATAGCTGTTATAGACAGAGCATTTTTCACTCTGTTTAGTACCCCACATGGGAATTCTTGAAACTTAACCAACTAATGCACTTGGATCTGTATAAAGGGTAGCCCCAGTGACTAAGAATGAGAGCCACCAGGACAGCTTTCTCTCGATTGATGCTCACATTCCTGCACAGTTTAATCTCAGAATGGAGGGAACAATGTGAAACACAAACCTCAGGTCCGTCCTGGAGATGTACGTGAGTCTAGACCGGCCTGAGCCGCAAGCCTCAACCAGGTACTGTGAGTTCAGGACTACTGCTCTCACACCACCTTCTAGGTGCACTGCATCATGCTCAACAGCAACTGCTACCAGAATGCATGCTTCCTTCAGTAAGTCAGTCCGCCATGCCCTACATCCGAGATAAAAAAAACATACATTGTGACAGTGGATTGGACACTGTGCTATTAACCCTAAAAATTCAACACAAAGTAAAGACACAAAAGTAAACTGTAGTCACTGACTGTAAAGACACCATACAAAGCAAGTTTGGTGCTTACTGAGAATGTGCCAACATGATGCAATGACTGGTAAAAATCACTGAATAAGAAAGAATGAGACACATTACACCTGAGTGAGTGTGGGCTCAGTCAGAGAAACATCAAAGATAGGAGCAGCAGGAGACCATTCAGCCCTCCGAGCCTGCTCCACCATTCATCACGATAACGGCTGATCATCCAACTCAATAGTCTAATCCTGCTTTCTCCCAATAACCTTTAAGCACATTCGCCAATGCCAGTTGGAGTAATAGTTAACAAAATACACACTCTATAATCTGTTATTAGAGTTAATCAAGTCCTAGACGATTGGAATGTTTCTGAATATACAAGTATACTCAGGTTAGTCGCTCGGCAATAAGTTTTTAGTGAATTAAACGAAATGGGAAGTATTCTGATTTGTAAAGCCTTTAATTCGTAACTTAATCTTGGTGGTACCAGTAGATATCCATGGGTGGTACCAGTAGTAAATGAGAGATACAAGGAGCAGGTTTTTCACATTTCTCCGCTTAACATACTGAATTATCTGAAAAGCCAGCCAGAGAGAAGTGCATATTCATAGCAAGAAGTCTGCATAATATTCCAATCAATAATTTCAGCGTAAGAACATTAGAGTAGATTTTTACTTTTAAATGTGTTATGTCCAGCAATCAAAATATACTTGCAAAGAAACAGAAAAATCTGTAGAATGGGCTTTTAAAATAAGTGTATCAAATGTGCCTTTGATTGTTGAGAAACACAGAAACTAGGAGCAAGAGTAGGCCATTCAACCCTTCATGCCTGCTCCTACATTCAATATGATCATTGTTGATCTTCTACCTCACTGCCATATTCCCACTTTCTCCCCTTACTTGTTGACGCCTTTAAAACCTAACAAAAACCTTTCTTAAATATATTCAGCGACTCGACCTCCACAGCTTTCCATGGTAAAGAATTCCACAAGTTAACTACCCTTTAAATGAAGGATCTTTTCCTCATCTCAGTCCTAGAGAATCTGCCCAGTATCCTGAGACTGCGTTCCCTGGTTCTACATTCCCCAACCAGGGAAGCAAGGAAAACTTCATCACCTCCCTACATCTTGTCTGTCCAGTTTCATTAGAATCTTGCACTTTTCAATCAGATCGCTTCTCATCCTCCTAAACGCTAGTGAATATTGGCCCATTCAAACCAATCTATCCTCAAAAGGACAGTCCTGCCAACCCCACTGTCAATCTCGTGAACCTCCACTGTACTCCCTCTACGGCACGTATATTTTGTTCTTGAGTAAGGAGACCAAAATTGCACACAATACCCCAGGCATGGTCTCACCAAGTCCCTGTATAACTGCAGTACACATCCTTACTTATGAACTCAAATCCTCTTGCAATGAAAGCCAATATATCATCTGCCTTTCTAGTTGCTTGCTGCACCTGCCCATCTACTTTTATTGACTAGTGTACAAGGACAGCCAGATCCCTTTTGTATGCCCACACTTGCCAAAATATCACCATTTCAATAATACTCTTCCTTTGTTTTTCACACTAAAAAAAGTGTAGATCTAGCCACAATGTAATGCATCTGTCATGTGTTTACCCACTCACTGAACTTGTCTAAATCATCTTGAAGCCTCCATGCATCCTCCTCATAACACTCAATCCACCCAGGTTTTGCATCATCAGCAAACTTGGAATTGTTACATTTGGTTCCCTCATCCAAATAAGTTATATTTATTGTGAATAGGTGAGGGCCCTCTACTGAGATACCCCATTAGTCACTGCCAGCCACATGGAAAAGACCCACTCATTCCCGCACACTGTTTGGCAACAATTTCTCAATCCATGAAAAATATAGTACCCCCAGCTTTATTTGGACAACTAATCTCGAGGGACCTTATCCAACATCTTCTGAAATTTTAAACACACCACATCCTCTGGTTCTCCATTATCTATTCTACTATGTACATCCTCAAAAATCTACAATAGGTTTGTTAAGATTGATTTCCCCTTCATAAACCCATGCTGGCCTTGTTCAATCCCATTGATGTTTTCTAAATGTTCTGTTATCTTCTATAATAGACTTCAGAATTTTCCCCACTACTGATGTTAGGCTAACTGGGCTGTAATTCTGTTTTTCTCTCACTCTGTTTTTAAACAGTGTGATTACATTTGCCATCTTCCAGTCCACAGGAACTGCTTCAGAGTCTATAGAATTTTGGAAGATTCCAAAATACCCATTATTTCTTGGGTCACTTCCTTTATTACTCTGGGATGTAGATCATCAGCCTCTGGAGATTTACAGTAATAAAAAATTATTTGCAATATACATTTGGGAAGAAGCGTAGCAAGAAAGAAGAAAAATGATGCTTGGGTTTTAAAAACAGGAAAGAGAAATATTACATTACAGATGTGCATTAACTCAGATAGACTAAGGGCCTTGATAGAAGTAATAGGATCGAGGAGGAGATGAAGGTAACTGGAATAGCTTGGCATCAAAAGATCAATACTGGAATCAGAAAAATATAAAGCAAATGGCACAATGAAAACTAAAATAGAAAAATATAACATGAAGCAAGGGAAGGTGGTCAGGAAATGGAATGACAATACTACCATGGAAGGAGGAATGGATCCAAACAAAGCACAACACAGAGGACCAGTTAACCAAAGGAGATACAGCAGGAAGTAAAACAGAAACATCAGAGGATCCAGAGTAATGACAGAAGCCAGGGATTGAAATGTTATGGAGTAAATCGAAGAATCAAGATGGCATTTTTTGAGAGATTGAAGTGGGCATAAAATGGGGTTCACAGCATTCAGAAAATAGGACAACGGAATGAGAGGAAGAGGAGGTTACTTAGCAAAGATACTCAAACTCTGATTCTCAGTAATTGCAAAAATGAGGCCGAAGGGTCAAAAACTGTGGGGAATCAAAACCTGGGCTGAGACTTGAAGCTGAGGTGAAAGAGAAAGAGAAAGAATGAGACAAAGACCCAACCCATTTTGGGGAACAGCTAACGACAAGAACCTGAGGCTGAAGACAACCTACAGAGAGTAAGGAACAGAATCAGATATTGAAGGACATTTGCAAACAATACTGTCAGAAACAGGGCTGAATTCCCCAGCATTAGTTTTAAATTAAAAAACTAAATTTAAAAAACTGTAGTGGTCAACAGCTGAATGCCAAGATCAACAAAAGTCAGAACTCAGGCAGAGGCTATTAATTTAGAGTTACTACACATGGCATTGAACACACAATTTCTACAGTCAGACATTTTTAAAATATGCTCCTGGTAGCAGAATTACAGAATCAAAGCATAGGAGGAGACCATTCAGACTAGTGTTATCCAATCATGCCTATTCAACTGCACTTTACCCAAAGCCCTGCAAATGTTTCCAATTCAAGATGCCTGACTGAAATTTACTGTTGAATCTGCTTCCACCACCCATCCAGATCACAACAGTGATCAGATGGAGGGGATCACTGGCTTAGCCAAAATGACACCAGAAGCTAGAATCTCAAGGTCCCTGGACCTTATGAGGCAGAGAATTAGAAAAATTCCCCATCTCTGTCCTAAAACGGTAACAGGCTTATTCTTAAAATATAAAAACAGTATCTCCTAGTTCTAGAGTCACCCACATCTTTTCCACATTCACCTTCTTTGAATGTTCAGGACCTTACAGACTTCAATCAAGTACCTCCTCGTTCCTCTAAACTCTAGCGGAAGTGAGCCCTTCAGTCTAATCCTTCCGCATAAGACAAGCAATTCATGAAGTCAGTCTAGTAAACCTCCTCCAAACCACCTCCAAAACATTTAGATTCTTCCTAAAAAATGGGGATCAAAACTGCACACCATATTCAAGATGTAGGTTTCACCAACATTGTGTAGAACTGAAATAAAACTCCACTTTAAAGTTAAATTTCTCTTATTAAGAGATGACATTCCACTAATAACCTTCTGTATCTGCATATCAACCTTTTGTGATATGTACTGGCATGTCTAGACCTCTCTGCACCTTGGATTTCTGTAGTTGTTCTCCATTTAATTATTACCTTTTTTAAATTTTCCTGTTTAAAAAAGTTAACATTTTCCCCACATTCTACTCCATCTGCCAGACTTCTGTCCATTCACACAATCTATTCATATCCATCTGCATCTTCATGTACTTATTACAACATACTTTCCTACTTATCTTTGCAACATCTGCAAATCTATCAAGCGCCTCATCTAAGTAACTGATACAAAATTATAAAAAGCCAAGGCCCTGCACAGCCCCCCTGCATGACTTCACTTGTTACATCCTACCAATCAGAAAAATGCCCATTTATGCAATCTTTGTTTGCTGCCACCCAGCCAATCTTTGATCCATTCTAATATGTTACCCCTACACCACAAGTTCCTATTTTGCATAATGACCTTTTATGCAAATGCCTTCAGGAAATCCAAGCTCAGTGCCTCAATATATTGTTCTTCATTTGAAACAATACTAATAAACTGGTTAAACACAATTTCCCTTTCACAAGACCATGCTAGTTCTTTCCAATGTGCTTTTCATAATTGGTTTTAACAATTACCCTATGATAGGCTTCCAACTGGCTTATAGTACCTTGTTTTCTGCTTCCCTCCATTCTTTAATAGAGGAGTTACATTTGCTACTTTCCTGTTCCACAGAGCCTTTGCAAAATCTAATGAAATTTAGAAAATCAGCACCAACAATCTTACAAATCTAGGATGAAGTCCATCAAGACCCAGGGTCTTGTCAGCCTGCAGCTCCATCAATGTACTCAGGATTGTTTCCCTAGTGATTGTAATTGTGACTGTTGACATAAGACTGAGAGGTCTATCACTACAGGATTCATGCTGAATGACTGATTTCATAACCTCTCATTATCATAGTGGGTTGCCTGCCAGCTCACAGCTTGATGGACAGCTCCAAGAGCTTATAAGCTCTTTGAAGTGGAACTATGAATGCAAATGCTTGTTTCTAGAAGATATTCGGTGAAATTGAAATAAGTTGAAATAAGTTAAATGTGGCAGATGTGGAAGTTTTTGTGAAATAATCAATTAATCCATAAACATCTGAGAACTTCATATAATATCAGCATGATTCTGAGGTCTGCCCCAAATGGATACTAGTTCCTGTTGACATGGAGGGTGTGAGGTCAAAGGGTGGTGACATTAGTTGGCACTAAGTCAACATACAGACTATAAAAGGACATGGTGGTGCTTAAAGGAGTCTAGCTTGGCAAGGGGAGCCATAAACGACAGAGGGTGGGCAAGAAGGGGCAAACATTAACATAGAAGGTATAAAGGGGCCATGGTGGGATAGAAGCCATGAGATGGTATGGGCAGAGCTTGATGATTGTTCTTTTGTATGAGAACACGAGGACCGGAAGATATTTCTGGGTTTTTTGTTTTTTTTACACAGATATAACAAAACTAAGTCAATTTTCCTTGATACAGGAGTGCCTTAACTGCACTGGGGAAGCATACTACTTGAAAAGATGGCATGCGGTAGTAACTGCTGGACATGAATATGTGCAGTAGCATAAAAGAACAGATGGTTTCAAACATCAGAAATAAAATTCCTAATTCTGTTGAGTTAGCAAAAACTAACGAAGGCCTACAACCCATTTTAATGTTCCCCGTTTTACATTTTTATGGACTTCCAGAAGGCATTTGACAAAGTCCCACATAAGAAACTGTTAACTAAGGTAAAAGCCCATGAAATTGAGGGCAAATTACTAACGTGCCTGGGAAATTGGTTGATGGCAGATGACAGAATGTAGGGATATTGCGTAAGTACTCAAATTGGCAGGATGTGACCAGTGGGTGTCCCACAAAGGATCTGTGTGATTTCCATATGGAATACTTTCCAGATCATATAAAGTTAAACATACTGGATCATGTCCAAAGAGGCTTTGGGTTTAGGTGCACTGATTTTTAAAATGTTATGAACAGGTGCAGAAAATAATCAAGAATGTTAATGGAATTCTGGCCCTTATGTCTAGAGGACTGGAGTACAAAGATGCAGAAATTATACAGCAATTATACAAAACTCTGTTTTGACCTCATCTGGAGTAGTGAGCAGATCAGGGCACCACAACTTAGGAAGGATATACTGGCCTTGGAAGGAGTGCAATGTAGGTTTACTAGAATGGTATCTGGACTTCAGGAGACAAGTTATGAGGAGTGATTATACAAATTAGACTAATTTGCTAGAACATAAAAGGTTAAGGGGTGATCTGATCAAAGTCTTGAAGCTATTAAACAGGAAAAGACAGGATAGATAAAGATAAATTATTTCCATTGGTTAAGGTTTCAAGATCTATGGGATATAATCTGTGAATCAGGGCCAGACTGCTCAGAACCCCTATAGTTTGGAAGCAAGCCATTCAGCCCATCAAGTCCATACTGACCCTCCTAAATGCATCTCACCTAGACCAACTCCATACCCTATCCCTGTAATCCAGCATTGGCCATGGCTAATCCACATAGCCTGCACATCCCTGGGCACTATGAGCAATTTAGCATGGTACTCCACCCAACCTGTACATCTTTCGATGACGGGAAGAATGTGAAAACTCCACACAGACAGTTGTCCAAGGGTGGAATTGAACCTAGATCCCTGGCGCTGTGAGGCAACAGGGCTAACCACTGGCCTACCATGCTGCTCAAGAGAGATGTTAGGAAGCACTTCTACACACAAAGGGTGATAGGTGTTTGGAACGTTCTTTTACAAATGGCAGTGGATGCTGGATCAGTTGTTAATTTTGAATCGGAGATAGATAAGTTGTTGTTAAGCTTGGGCCACGGATCAGCCATGATCACTTTAAGCGGCGTAACAGGCTCAAGGGGCTGAATGGTCTACTCCTGCTCTCACATTATGTTCCTAACAATACTGGACCTCTCTAATATTGGCATTTCAAAATGATACTGACTCAAGATTACAATAACATTGTACAGACTTGCTGTATATTCCGATGAGTTGGCAAAGCTAATGGATATTGTGACTGAAGGGTTTAAAATGCCTAAAGAACCTAAGAACCACCACAAGGTAGTGAAAAACAAGCAGAACTGCTGATAATTTGAATCTTAAGCAAAACCTGAAGCAGTTTAAACTTGCATATATTTAATGAGGAAATGCTTCCTAAAGTAAAAGGCACACACAAGGTAACTTTATTCAAGATCATTAACAAAAAAATGTGTTTTTGATTGATTATTTGAACACCAAGTCTGCTGTTCATATAAATTTTTTTGGCAGCCCCTGCATCTTTAGGAACACATCATAAATATGCTCATGAAGAATTTCTCAAGTCACTTGATCCAGAAGAATCATAAATGTGCTCAATGAGAAAATACTGAGCAGAGGAAATCATTCACATAGCATGCTTGGCCTTGGGCCCAAATCTAATTATTCTCATTCAAAAAAAATCTGTACCCAAAGACGTACAAATTACTCTCTGGCCATTGAACCCATTGCGAACTATTCATAACCACAAAATGATTTATGAACATAAAACATGTTTCAACAATTTACTCTAACTAATTCCTATCATATTATCCCACACATATGCTGAGAAATAAACATCAAGCAGCTTAACTGCTTTAACTATTATGACAATGTAACAATTAAATTTTATTTGATTATTTTATATATAATACTCAGGAGGAGATTGCAGCAATTACAAGGTTGCTCAACATTCCAATTAAGAGTATTTGTGAATTACAACGCTACACTTTAGTCATGGACACATTTTCATGAAGGACTATTGCTCACCCAGTAGCTAGTCTCACCTCAGAACAACAAAGTCTCGCCTGGGATGTGGTGCCATGCTGTCCACAACATAATGGCAGATCTCCATATTTTTATCCAATTGTTCCACAACATTTACGACCAGGACATCATCATCCCAAAGGTGGCGTTCTCTTAGCAGACGGTTTAATACAGAATTAGGAGTTGCTTCTATCTCGGTTGTCACTTTCCATAAACGAAGGGGATGTCCATCACCAACCTACCAACGCAGGGTAAAACAGAAAAAAAAAGGTGTTAGTATGTTACAATGTGAGAATGTCATCCCCTTGCTCTGTTAGACAGGGAGCCAAAAATAACAGCATCCAAAAGGTTTTTTTTTCTAAAAATCAGGGCATTCCAGGAAATATCCTTGTGAAAACTATCAACCAAAATTTGTTATAACAAGGTGTAGAGCTGGATAAACAGAGCAAGGCCAAGCAGCATCAGAGGAGCAGGAAGGCTGACGTTTCGGGCCTAGACCCTTCTTCAGAAAAAAACACATTTGTATGATCATTCCTATTTCAAAACTACTCCCTAGCCCAGTTCCAACATTTAGGGAACCTTCCCTCTCTACCAATATTTAGATCACTTCTCCACGATATTACTTCATGCAATATGGAAAACTCTGCTCTATCACACAACCACATCTAATTAAAGAAACCACAGGATTGCGCTATATTGGAGGAAAAGGTGCATAAAGTTGCCAAAGAAAATGGTAAGTTTGGGGATTTTGACGATTTTAGAATTCTGCGAAGGAAGATCTATAAAAAGGATTAAAGGATAAATAAAATGCTACAGTAAATTTGCCTGAATGAAAACAAACTGAAAAAGCTTCCACAGGGATGTGAAACAGCTTAGGAAAAACAAATGTGAGTCCATTACAAGCAGAGTCAAGAGAATTTATAATGGGAAATAAGAAAATGGAGAAACAAAACAAATACTTGGTATCTGTCTTCACAAAGGAAGATACAAAAAACTCCCAGAAATAGTGGAGAATCTGACAACTAGTGTAAATTACAAACTGCAAGTTATTCATATTGGTTAAAACAATTAATAAGACGTGATTATCTACATCAATGGTGAAAGAGGTGCATATAGACATAGTAGATGCATTAGAGATCATCTTTCAAAATTCTAGAGACTCTGGAATGATCTCTGCAGATTGGAAGGTCATAATTGCTATTTGTTACTATCCATGCTACTATTTAAGTAGAAG